TTGTGTAGCTTTTCACGGTGCATCTAGTAGTATATTTTGTTTTTTTTCAACTAAAAACTATCAGGTGATAAAAAGATGAAATAAGAAAAAACGAATTCATCTTGTACAAAGAAAATCTCGTTTTTGCATGGTCGAAATTAAGTCTCTCGAAATTCTGTGCATTTTGAAATAAAACAGTACAACGGTTAAAAAAGCTGATCCATATTAATCGTAGTGTTTTTCACGATGCATCTTGTGGTATATTTTTTCTTTTTAATACAACGTATTAAGTGAGTAAAAATTGAAATGCAAAATGTAGGCATCTAATCTGCCTCATCCGTTATTTCGATGCAGAATGAGACAGCAAATTATTGAACACCACATTTAATCTATTTAGAAAGCCAATCAATGGTTCCTAATCCAGATGAATATACCATATTGTCACTGCACCCAAACGGCTATATCCAACAATAAGATAACTATAAGCTGAATATACGATGAACTAATAGTGTTTCTATACGGTTTGATGCAGTTCTTGACGGACTAACCGTTGGTGTAGTTTTCTTCTAGTTATTTTATTAGCTAAAACCTTTCAAGGTTTGATCGTGCCTAAAACTGCAACCATATGTGCTGCCATATCAGAAGAACATATGGTATTCATATTAACAAAACAGAAGCCGGTTATGTGGTTTTCTGGAGTCGATCTACGATCAGTAGTGGAGGTTTCTCATCTGTACAATTATGATATCCACAAGAAAACTTTACCAGCGTGTAGTCCGTCAAAAATTGCATCACACTTTGAAGAGAACAGTTGTTAGAGATGAATTTTCTCCTCTTTATTTTGTAATCACGAAATACACACACATCTAACCACTAACTACATACGACCAAAGAGATGAGAAGAAACGCGTGTATATATACCAGTAAATAGATCGAGGGAAAGAAAGAGAAAACGAATACAAGAATAAAGGATGATATCACACAACAAAGGAAAAAGATATATGTAATCATAACGACAAAGAGTGAAATCATATAACGACAGAAAAGAAGAAAAGAAAAACAAGACCTGGATAATGTGAGGGCTAGCCCGTAACAACAGTCCATCGTAAAGCTGTCTCCAAAGCAATTAAGAAGCCAGAACCTTCGTGACATACCCGAAATATCGATGAAAACACTATTATCTCTCCATAAATTCAGCTTTTCTTCTGAGAACTTTTAGATAATTTACTGGTCTTTCAAATGAGACTATTTATAGACAGGCGAACAAATGTTTTCACAAAGTTATTGTTAGTGTACAGTCATCTGACTGCAGTAAAAATATAGGATTGTAAGCTGCCTCAAAAGGTATTGAATCGTTTTTCAAGTAGATGATCTGTCTTTTTATGCGTCTTCCTCGTTTGTTCGTAGCTTTTCGAAATGTGTAATCTTAGGCTTTTTTCTCTGGAAGGACTATATCTCGAAAATAACGATACTACAAATTTTGAGAAACTATGAATGGATTCACATTTCTCAACTCCAAATTCATTTGATCAAGCTTGAAACACAGTGTTATTTTCGTAAAATAAGTTTCTTTGGAGCGAAAAATTAAACTAACACATTTTCCATTATTCAATAAGATAACTTTTCAGTAATAGACATTCGCTTTCTCAGCCCTCTAATCAAATAAAAAGCACTTATTAACAAGTAACGCTCGTCTGTAGACTTGCTCAGCTCTTTCTCGTAGAAGTGCTGTTTCTAAACTGTCAACAAATTGCTTATTTACGAAGTTCCACGATTCAAAATCAGCACAGTCACACTGCATTATTCTGCCCAAGTGCATCTATCTACACGTTTGAGTTTAGCATTCTGAGCAGAAAGTTGGGCTGATTTTTTTTCAACACTATGATGAGATTAGTAAATTTTATTATCCGCTACTCTTGCCACCTAAATCTCATCATCGATGATAGATTCTGGCTTTTACCTCGAATCTGTGGCCAACTTTTTTTTATAAAAAAGTAACGTTCCTAGATCGAATTACGGGCCAAAAAAATCTGATTGGTTGAATTGCCCCCCTTGAAATCCTATTGGTTGAAACTACAATGTCAGAAAACCTTATTAGTCGAAATCCCGACCAAAAATAACCTTACTAGATCGAAATACGGGCCAAAAAAATCTGATTGGTTGAATTGCCCCCCCTTGAAATCCTATTGGTTGAAACTACAATGTCAGAAAACCTTATTAGTCGAAATCCCGACCAAAAATAACCTTACTAGATCGAATTACGGGCCAAAAGAATCTGATTGGTTGAATTGCCCCCCC